AGTAGGGAGCCCAAACAGCCCCCCGAGTGAGAGGCAGGAGGGGGAGGAGACCTGAGAGAGTGGTGGGGGGGGGGGTGAGGCAGTAGGAGGAGGAGAGAGAGAAAGACAAGGAGCGAGAGACCAGAGGTTCAGGAGAGGAGACCAACATGGAGGAGAGACCTGAAAATCCTGTCTTATGACGGGCTAATGGCTAGTTTCAAAATAATAACTCCCGAAATAATTATCTCAAAATAAGCTTATTCCCCAGTAAAGCAGAAGTACAGATTTTGACATAACTAGCCTGTTATTTCAAAATGTTCCACTTATTTCAAAATAAGGGGGGTTATTTCTAAATAACTCCCTAGTGTAAACCAGAGGTTAGAGAATATATATATATATATATATACTATCATGGGCACAACCTTTTTCTTTAAAGAATTGAGTTATTTCAAAATAATGCTGCTGTGTAAACATGCCCTTAGAGACTAACTGACGAACTATATATAGTTATTTTTGAAATTACACAGTGCGTGTCCACACAGGAAGACCATTATTTTGAAATAACAGGCTTCTTACTCTGACTTCTGTAACTCTCATTTCACGAGTAGTAAGGGAAGTCGAAGGAAGAGTGTTCTTCCTTCGACTTCCTGCAGTGTAGACAGTGTCAAAAGCCGAGTTTAAGTACTTCAATTTCCGCTACACAATTAATGTAGCTGAAGTTTTGTATTTAACTCGACTTTAACCTCCATGTAGATGTACCCTAAGGTGCTATAGGACCACTCTTTTTTTTTAAGCCAGGATGGTAGTCTGGTTCACTGTGATAACAAAACTACAGACTAGTGAGAGCTTGTAAGGAAATATTAGAAATTCTGTTTTAGCCATTTGAGCTTAAGCTGATGGCCAGACATCCATGATGAGATGTCAGAAAGATAGGCTGAGACTTCAGTTTAGACAGAATGGGAAAGGTTTGGAGCAAAGAGATATAACTATGGGTCTGTGGACAACACCACCATCCCTTCCTGTCAGTCAGCACTGTATCCTGTGTGTCATCTTCTGAGCAGATGTCATTAAATATGTCATTTAATTGCTGGTTAAATTATACTGCCGGTTTAGTGAGTGACCAATTTACAGAAGCAGGACAGAAAATAGAGTTAAATGAAAGTTCATGCCCAAGCTTTGGCACTCTCTTTAAATATATTGTTACAAAGTTGTTTATTATATGTTGTGTAAACACTTTTGTGCTCTCAGATCAGTTTGTTAACTCAGTTGTTTACGTGAACAAATTGCTGTTCCAAGTTGTTCACCTGATCAGGTTGCTGGTTATGCTTTTTACCAGACAACCAGGCATTTTTTCACTCTCTCAACACCTAAAAGGTATCTTCTACATAATGCTTGTCACAGGACATCCCTGTAAACATCTGGAAAGTTAAATAATTATTCTTCAGATAACTCCTTTAAGTTCTCTTTTGCAATGATAGCTACAAAGAGGATCTATCATGGGCTATGTCTACATTAAACTGTAGTTCGAAATAAGATGCACAATTAGAGCTACACAAATTGCATATCATTTCAATCTTATTTTTAAATAGTTTATTTCGTAATTTGGTGCTGTCTACTCAGCACCAAATTTCAAAATAACCCACTATTCCAAAATATCCCTTACTCCTCGTGGAATGAGGTTTACAGTAATGTCAGAATAGTGAGCCTGGAACAACGAACTTGCTGTTAAGATACAGGATAGCTATTTTGGGATTCTGTGGTATCCTGCAATAGCATTACAGTGTAGACATAGCCATACTGACCAGTTGTGTCTCATTGTTTCCAAGTATTCTCCCATCTGCCTGTGTTCATCAGTTATCTTGTCCTCTTAAATTGAAAAATCTTTGGAGCATGGTCAGTCTATTTGTTCTGTGTTTGTACAGTGCATAACAGAATGGGCTCCTAGTCCATAGTAGTTGCTATGATGATGATGATGATGATAATAACAATAATAATAGTATCTGAGTATTTTACAAACATTAATGAATTTATCTTCAAATTCAAATTTATCTTCAATGTATCTTCAACTTACCCTTTGAGAGTAAGTAATACTATTAACTTTATTTTTTAGATGGGGAATAGAAGCACAGAGAAATTAAAACCCACATTTTCAAGTATCAACTAAGTTTTGTTGTCCAGCTTGTGAAACTTGGGGATCGATTTGTAAGAATATTCACATTTTTTATAGCAAATCGTCTATACAAAGCATAGCTCCAGTTAACTTTATTTCCAGTTGAGTGCTCAGCAAATGTGTCTTCAGGTATTTCAAAGTGCACACCTAGGAATAAACACACAATTAGTGGGTACCTATGAAAAATTTAGTTTAGAAGATATGCCCTACATCCTATAGAAATTCTATGGCCAAAGTAGAATCCCATACCGTTGGGTGGCATCCTTATGAAGAGACTATCCTTTCTCTTCCTTCAATCTCTTGCCTCATTCACTGCACTGTTATTTAACTTTGGCTACAAATGATAGAGGCATTCTGCAGACAACAACCTTATTCACTATAAAATCCTGATTCATCCCCCAAATATCATCCATCCTGTGCACTGAATTAGGCCTGTGTCCTGTGGGAGCAATAGTATGTAAGTTTATAATTAAAGATTTGCTGCAAAGATGTATTATGATACAATCTTTTAAGTTAGAACTGTTTTAAAATACCACTCTTGATCCCAGATTTGGTATCCTTTCAAATTCTCAACCCATACCTATAGTACGCCAAGGCATGAATAGCATAGCGTGATGTATAATAAAAAGCTATGCAATTATTGTAGTCATCTGATTTTTAAGTGTACTTTTCTTATCTGTAATTGGTGTCAGGAGACTAGTAACTAGTTGTATGGTAATTTTTTTTTCAATGGCAAGTTTATGGTAACTTGTGAGAGGCTAATTCAGGTTATTTCTATTGCTTTACCTTAGGAATTAAGTCTCTCATCAGAAGCAAATAAAAGTCAAAAACTTAAAGCTTATTATGCAAGTTATTTCCTAACATGACTGAATTGAACTAAGGATGTTAAAATGCAGTTAATTGACTAGTCAACTAGTCGATAGATACTACTGCATACAGCCTGGGTCCAGCGGGAAGTCCCACTGACTCCAGGCTGCACGTGGCATGCCTGCTTTGAAATGCACAAAAGTCCCCAGTGGGGGCTCTTTAGCATTTCAAAACCATGGAGCCTGGAGTCAGTAGGGGACTCATATTCCACTTCTGACCTTGGGCTCCATGCTATGCTGCATGCCACTAGGAGTCCAGGGTCAGCTGGAGAGTCCCCAGCTGACCCCGGGCTTCGCAGCTGCCTCTTTCAATCATGCGGAGATGGCATTTTAAAGGGGCAGCCACTGCACAGCTGATGCGCGGATCAGCAGTGCAGCGGCTGGCCCCTTTAAATGCCCACCGTGCAGTGCTGCCACTTTGAAGTACCCTCTTCCCCCACACCCTTTGCTGCCTCCATGTCATAGAAGCAGCAAGGAGGGTTATATTGACTAGTCAACTAGTCAAAAGACTATCAGATAAGCAAATGATTATCGGATAGTTGACTAGTCGACTAGTCTTTAACATCCTTAAATTGAACATTTGGGGGTGGGGAAAAGTTCAGGAATTCCTCAGGATTATCCACTTTTCATAAACATCCATCCATACCATATTCCTCAGGCAGCATAATCCTTAGCTGCAAGGGCTGGATTATGCCAAAAATTATGCTGGCATTTATTGTTTCCAGATAGTTCAAAGCACTTCTCTCCTTGCCATTTTGCTCTTTCTTTGCTTTTAAATATGTAAGTGATAGCTGAGGATGTATAGAACTCAGATATTTTTGGATCATTTTATGTGTGTTAACAGTAGGATGGGGAACTTTACATTTGTTCCCTGACCTAAGTACAGTACAAGAGTCCTTGTCATGATCATGTTGAATTCATTCCTGTGTGGTCTTAAAAGAAACTGTCTGAAATATATCCTGAATTGGAATCAAAGATGGACAAAATAAGATGATAATCCTTTTCATCCTTCTTGCCAAATTCTGTAGTAAGTAAGGGTACGTCTAGACTACAGGCTTCTGTCGACAAAGAGCGTCTAGACTACATTGAGTTCTGTCGACAAAGCAAGCTGCTTTGTCGACATGGTAGTGTAGACGCAAAGGACAGTTTATATGCAATAACACCTTCTGTCGACAGAAACTCTGTCGACAGAAGGCGTTATGCCTCGTAAAATGAGGTTTACCAGCGTCGACAAAACTGCTGAGTTCTGTCGACGTTATGTCGACAGAACTCAGCGGTAGTGTTATGCCTCGTAAAATGAGGTTTACCAGCGTCGACAAAACTGCTGAGTTCTGTCGACGTTATGTCGACAGATCTCAGCGGTAGTGTGGATGCAGGTATAGTTTTGTCGACAAAAGTTGACTTTTGTCGACAAAACCCTGTAGTCTAGACACACCCTAATAGTCTGCCCTTGTGACACAAAAGGCCATAATCTGGCCACAAATGTGCAGCAAAAAAATCAGCTAGTATCAGTGGAAACTCTTTGATGGAGGGATCTGTGTTGCTGCTGAGTTTGTGTCTCTGTCTCCACTATTCCCAATGTAGAGGACATGTCAGTGATGGGAGAAGTTCAGCAAAATTTTGGGGAGCAGTGCATGGCGGAGGTCTTCTATGTCACACCATTGTTCCTGAGACATAAGGTCCATTAAGGACCATGTGTCTGTGGCACTACTTAGACCTTCCTAACAGCAGTTCTAAACGGTTTCAGGACCAGGACCAGCTCAGAGATTCAGGTAACCATAACCAGACTACAAAAGCTTCCTTCTCTTTGGCTTGAGCACTACTTTGGTATAAGAGAGAATCTTGCCCTTACTTTCCAGTTTTCTGCTATGCAGTTATGCTAATCTTTTTATACCAAATATACGCTCTATTTAACAGTTCACTGAATATATTGTATTAATCCCAATCAAGTGCAAAGAAACTTCAGCAGGTCAATCAAGTAGAAAAATAACCATGGTAACCTTTCAGACCACATATTATAGTGATTTGTATGGTAGAAAAACAAATATTTTCAGTAAGAGAAGAAAAGTTATAACCTATACTGTTTTCAGTAACAATGTATCTGAAAAAGCACTTAGTTTTCAGCATAATTTAATCCCATTGACTTCCATCTGGTAATTGCTGAAGACAGCAAAAACTCAAACTGATTGTTTCTTCCTGAATGCTGTATTTTAAGCCCATGCACAGGGGTTTGTGTTCTAGAAAGTCTGAATAAGGGGAGGAAAAATGCATTTTAAATAAATATTGTATTTCTGAAAAGGTCTTTGACTTTTTTCATAACTAACATACTTGTTCATTATGTGTTATTTTGGAAGTACATATGAAAAAAGAGTAATAGCTCAGTAGGGAGCATTAGTTTATTAGTGTATTGAAATATTTCTAATAAGCAAAATATTTTAAGTTTGCCTTCTAAAGTAGAAAATCTGCATTGCTTACTAGTCTTTGTTTACATGAAAATCAATTTAAGTTAAGTTTTGGTTAAGTATTTCTTTAATCACTCTGGTCTATTTAAATGTTAACAAATCTTTGGAAGAGGTTAATCAAGCATAAACTACTTGAATGAAACAGATAACTGGAAAAGCCCTGAAGGATCAACTCTTAAAGAACGTTTTTAAAATAAGTGCAATGAAACTTTGTCACCATAATAGTGACAGTCATACTTGCTTAAGCCATTTTGCTGCAATGAATTTTGGTATCTTTGTTTTTCCAGTTATAATTAGGGAGTATTTTTATGATAGGTAAAAGTCACAAATTGCTCATGGACAGTGTTGTTCCCATATAATGGCAGGCAGGAAATTCTTCTGTCAATTACAATTAGAAGAGCTAATATAGTGAGGAAAGGTCACAAATACTTTAGTGGAATGGAATGAGCTGCAGAGACTCTGTTATAACATTAGGTAACATTTAAGTAAAGGCAAAATTAATCTCTGGGGTAATTCCATAGATACCACTGAAGTTATGCTGAGGATAATTTTGGCTCAAACTGTTTAAATGGGATGGATGCTTATTTGGGATGAACTGCAGCTCATTAAGTTGTCATTAGTAAGCAATTTCAGTATTGTATTAGTGCATATTCTCGAAGTTCCTTTTAAAATCTATTTTTCTTATAAGCAAGATCATTTTAGTTCCTTTAATATTTTCATGTTTGATAGTATTCCTTAAATTTTCAGAAATACTTTTGATGATCATAATTAACTATTTCTCTTAAATATAATTTAAGGATGTTCCAATCCCAAGGTTGAATTTTCCTGAATGACTAAAATGAACACTGCTAAAAGTTTAGCAGCACCTTAAAGACTAACAAAACATGTAGATGGTATTATGAGCTTTCGTGGGCACAGTCATCTGAAGAAGTGGGTTGTGCCAATGAAAGCTCATGATACCATCTCCATTTCTGTTAGTCTCTAAGGTGCTGCAAGATTATTCAATGTGTTTTTAAAGTTTTTCCAGTTACAGACTAATACAGCTACCCCTTTGAAACTGCTAAAAGTGGTAGGCCAATAACTTAGACCATCTTTCTCTGTCTTAGATGTGTAGGGCAGGTTCTGGATTCATGCCACTGCTACCCTATAACCTAGAATACTCTTTACAATGTTTTGCTGCTAAAGCCTCCAACTTCAGCTATATTAAAACAACCCCATCTATACTTACTGCACCGGAATGGAGTAAAGGATCAGGGGTGAGGAGTGGTCCAAGGAAGGGGGCATAGGGTCTGGGCAGGATAGAGAGTTTGGAGGTGAGGAGGGCTCAGGGTAGGGGCTTGCTGATGGGGACTGCAGTAAGGTTTCAGGGGTGAAGAGAGTGGGTATGTCTACACTACAAAGTTAATTCAAACTAATGGACGTTAGTTCGAATTAACTTTCCTAGGCGCTACACTAGCGCTCCGCTAGTTAGAACTTAATTCGAACTAGCGGAGTGCTTAGTTCGAACTAGAAACACCTCATTTTAGGAGGATTAAGCCTAGTTCGAACTAGCTAGTTCAAATTAAGGGGTGTGTAGCCCCTTAATTCGAACTAGTGGGAGGCTAGCCCTACCCAAGTTTCCCTGGTGGCCACTCTGGCCAACACCAGGGAAACTCATCTGCCCCCCTCCTGGCCCCGACCCCTTAAAGGGGCACGAGCTGGCTACGGTGCCAGTGCCAGGTGCAAGCCTGCCAGCACCCAGCCAGCAGACCCTGCACCTGGCACGGCTCG